ATAAGGGATCCCAATCTCTCAATACTGTCCTGCTGGAACCACATTTACCTCCCCCATGCCCTTGACCCCACCTCCATCCACCGCAGGGATCCTCTCAGCTTCCTCCACCATCTCTTTGGCCCTGGCCCTCCTGTTGAAATTTTGTAAACAGAACTGGTGATTAAGACTTCAAGTTCCAAATCTCTCACTCAAAAGTATCCTTACCCACACAAAGATGACCCAGGAAACCCTCAATTCAGGCATCTGGCCTCTGGGCAAATGTGACAAGGGAAATGGAAACCATTTTTCAACAGCAACTATGAGCCTTTGAAGTGACCCATAACCACACAGACAGAAGATACCACCTCATTTTTAAAAATAATTGACAGAAAAAAACAGTATGTTTGTTCCTCAAAAACCTAAAAATAGAATTACTGTGTGACCCAGCAATTCCACCTTGGGGTATATACCCAAAAGAACTGAAAGCATGGTTTCAAAGAGATCTTTGTACACCACATTCACAGTAATAATAGCCTAACAGAGAAACAACTGTCCATTGATGGATGAGTGGATAAACAAAACGTGGTATATACACGCAATGGAATATTACTCAACCTTAAAAAGGAAGAAGATTCGGCCACATGACTATGAATAAACCCTAAGGACATCCCGCTAAGTGAAATAAGGACAAACACAAAAGGACAAATACTGAATGATTCCACTTAAATGTGACATCGCTAAATAGTCAAATTCAAAGACAGAAAGTTAGAATGATGGCTGCAGGGCTGGAGGAGGGAGGAGTGGGGAGTCAGTGTTCAGTGTTAGAATGAGTTTGGAAAAATGGGAAAGTTCTGAAGATGGATGGTGATGGTTGCACAAAAATGTGAATGTACTTAATGCCACTGAACTGTATACTTTTTGCCCTTTTAAGGGTTAAAATGATAACTTTCACATTAGGTATATTTTACACAAATTAAAGTCCATCCACAAAAGGATAGAAGTTCCAGCTAACCCAAATATGTTAGCGGGATTTTAAAAGCATGGTCACAACCAGAAATACATACCCTTCCTCTTTCTTTCTCCTCTTAAGGGACAAAGGTGGGTGACAGGGTCAGGCAGCAGGAGGGGAGGAAGAGTCACACTGGGCAACACAATGACCTCCAATTCCTCCTGTGCCAACTGTCACCAACAATAGGCTACAAGATGTGGGGGAGAAGACAGGTGGCAGGGACCTGCCCATAAGTGACACCTGATTGTCACCAATTCCTGGAGACCAGAGGTTTCCCAGAAGATGGTTTCTTTCCAAATGCACATTTATAAATGATGTTGCGCTTCCTGGAATTAAGTAGGAATTCCTTATATTCCAGACATAAATTTTGGGAAATACACCCTCTGATAACAAACACCCCTCTCTGCGTCGCATCCTGTGTGTTTAAGATGTTGGTACACAGTTCAAATGCGCGCCAGTAACTGTCTGCATTTGGGCTTCTGAAAACCAAATATGTACACTTTGTAACAGGTTCAGCCAAGTCAAAATAAAGCTTGCACTCCATCCCTGAGTTACTGCAATCACTTTCTACTCATAGTCTCCGCTCCTACAGTCTTCAGACTGGAGGGCAGGGGACACAGCTGCTGCCAGCAGTCTGAATACTGGCTTCATCCAGCTTCCGCTCACCCTGACTCCAGCCCCCCAGGTGACAGACAAGGATCTTTCAGCTTGTAAAGGAATCTTAGTTGACTTTCCTCCTCCTTAATCTCATTACTTTTCTTTTTAATTTATTTAGATCTCTGCTGTTGCATATTTGTAAGTATCTATCACTCTCTGCTCTGAAGTTAACACCCCAGAGCCAAGACAGGGAGGCAGGGCAGCCTGCAGGCAAACATCCTTAGGAACAGGGGCGTGGGGAGGGCATTCCTAGACATCTCCTATGAAAGCACAGAAGGTGGATGGCCAGGAGGAGCACCTGGGTGCTTGTGTGGGGCTTGCACCCTGGAAACATGCTCTTGTACGAAAACATGAGCCGATCCTCCCCCTAGCAATCCATTCAGTTCTGAGCAAGGCTTTTGTTCAGAAGAATGGGATCTATGCTGAGGTTGGAGGCTGAATTACCAGGGCTAAGGAAGGAAAATTGTTGCAGCTCTCCACACTCTCCTCACACTCTGCATCTCCTCCAAATAAACATCAAACAGTAATTTAAATACAATTATTCTCAGAGATCTGCTATCTGCCTGCCAGAGGTGTCTGCCTGAAACAGCTGGCCTGCCTCTCATTTTCCCACTTTAGGAATAAGGTTGATTTAAGATCCACTTCCTCTAAGATGCCTCCTTTCCTTGGTTTGCTTCGTCTCAGAAGTCATGCTTAAGTCTCCTTCACACACACCTGTTATGTATCCCCAACTAGCAAGCGCCTTGCAGTAGGGACAGTGTCTCAAATTTCTTCTCACAAGTGCTCCAAGTAAGTAGTGCGATGCTCAGCTGGGCTCTGCAGCAAAGTGCATTCTCCAAAGATGGCCACACAAAGGCCTCCCACCTCACCTGCTCTTGTTACAATGTGACCGACATGCCTTCCACTGAGATGTGGGGTCTCTGCTCCCTCCCTCTGAACATTAGGGGGGCTTGTGACTGCTCTTCCCAAAAGGGCACAGAGGAAATGATAATAGGTGACTTGCCAGGCTGGATCACAGGAAAGAGACAGCTTCCACCTGGCTCTCTCCTTCCTGGACACTTCTCAGAGAAAACCAGCCACAGTGCTGTGAAAATCAACTAGCCCATGGCTGCCATAGGAGGCACACTATGAGGGAAGCAGGGGCCCCACAACAGCCAGCATCACCCACCAGATACACAAGTGAAGGAGCAACTCTTCCAGTCCCAAGTCTCCAGCACAAGGCCCCAATTCAGTGAAGCAGAGACAAGCCATTCACTGCCCTTTCTAAACCCTGGCCCACAGATGTGTGAGCATGATAAATGGTAGCTCAGCAACGTTAGACAGCCATCGGAGCTGGGACAGGTGCCACAGACTTGGCCACAGGATGAGCAATTCCAAAGGCCCAACCTCTCTAAAATTGACTTTTGTTATCTGCTCCCAACAGCCTCCTTCCTATCATCACGAAACAGCCTCTATTCCACAGGGCCATTGCTCGGGGTGTCCACCTTCCTATTCAACCTCACAACCACTGTCCACTAACCATATTTCTGCAGTGAGACTGGTTGCTCCAGAAAAGGTCATTTCTGATCTCTGCAAAGTGCTTCCTTCCAGAGGGCTGACTGCCTCCTCCACAGGGGACGGTAGGCATATCTACTCACCGCCCAGCCCAGGGTAAGAGCACATTAACTCTTCCCAAATGAAGACTGCCTCCAGCTCAGAGCAGTGTCCACCACCCCAGTGTGCTGCCGGTAACAGCAGGAATGGACACGCAACCGCCACGGTCCCAGCGGGAAGCAGACTTGGGTCACACACAAGCCCCGAGCCCAGAGGATCAAAGGTGCCATCCAGCCAGACCCTCCCTCTGGTCTGCCCTGCTCCCCTGTCTTACCTGATTCCTTGATTCAAAAAGGTTGATTTGGGGACAACAATGCCTGACAAAGTATTAAAGTTTTCTTCTCAAGCATCATACAGACTAGGTCTCTGAACAAGTAAGAACTGTGCACGGAGCCACGGCTGAGTGACCCTCGTCACATCAGGAAAGAGCACACTTGTTCTCCAAGAGAGAACCAGACCTTAGTTTTCTGAGGGGATAGGAATCTTGAGCCCCCAAGTAGACACACAGCTTTACCTGGTGTGCAGGACCCAGGATGAGGAAAGTGTGGTCAAAGGAAAAGCATGGAAATGGTCAAATTGCAAATTCTCTCTCTCTCTCTCTCTCTCTCTCTCTCTCTCTCTCTTTCTCTCTCTTTCACACACACACACACACACACACAGAGTACACAGTCAGCATTAGCACCCACAGTCTACGTGTACATCACACTCCCTAAGCACGGGGCAGCGGTGCACATAGTCGGCAGCAGCAGCTTGATTAAGCTGATGAGGGAACTGCACTGTCTTGCCGGGTGCAAGCACCACACACAGAGGACCCCGAGACATACACACAAGCCCAGCTTCACTGGAGCAGTTTCCTCTAAGAGCATCCAGAAACTTCCAACGTGCTCATTCCCACTTCCTAGTGGGACCTACTGGGAACCTGGTGCTTTGGGTCCACTCCTGGCCTCCCCCTGCTCTAGCCTGTGCGGTTCACAGCAGCCTTCCCGGGCTGCCTTCTTTAGCACCCAGTCCACGAACACATGTAAACTTGCTACAAGCATTTTCAGAAGGCAAACTTCTTTGCAATCACAAGTTGCCTGCTGTACCCCAGAAAGGTGAGTTTAAGTCTGTCACCAGTGGGTGGCACTTTAGGCACTTCACAGTCTGGGAGCTCAGTCTGCAAGGACAGGAGAGACACTGCTTATGGCCCCGCTATTGGGACTGGATTTTCCTTTCATTAACTCAGTATCTTAATGTTTTTAATGCACACAAAGGGAAAAAGTTGATACTAGTACAAGGAGTATTTTTCATAAACAAAGGCAGAAATCAAGACAAGACAAAAATGGGGCTTTCTGTCATCCTCAGATAGGCCTAAAACAGAAGGGGACCCCAGCATGGGGGAGGCAGGGGCTTCACTAATATGCCCTGGCCCCACTCCTGTTCATCTGCCCACTCCTCCTCCCTACCCGAGGCAGACACCCCTAATTTCTCTTCTCACTTTGGACAGAGTACATTACCAAGAAACCACTAACGTGTCCCTGTCCTGTTTTGTGTTTGGGGAAAAAAAAGTGCTATTTACAACCACTTATATGTAAAAACCTTATTCTGCCAAACAATTAACTCAACAATCAATCAAGTAGAACAATTTAACAATTTAACAATTGACACTGACATCACAAGTAAAGCAGTCACCACAATTAAGCTCCAAAGCCTGTAGACTAGAGCAAACCAATCCTGTACAGGGAGAAGGATAAGCCTTTAAAGAAAAAGAATATAACTTTACCTGTGGCTATAGCGAATGGCTATCGTCAATCCAAGCTGTAATTAAAAAGAGAAACACATATTAAATAATATCAAGAATATGCTGAATTCACAAGAAAATTTACTTAATATGGTCAACTATTTTTTGTTTCCTTACTCCTCGTGCTTCATGAATAACATATGTGAATGATAGATCTTTGGTTTCAACTTCGCTCTTAAAGGATAATTGTATTTTGTATCCTGAAAGGATCTTAAAGGGGCTACAGTATTTCACTGTGGATTAGATCAAAGATGTCTCCCCTCTGAAAAGAATTACAAAACAGGGCTTTTCTGTTTTTTCTTTACCTTCTTTTTTTCTTGTTTTCATTTAAAATTGTTAATTTTAATTTTTTTATTGAGGTGTAATTGACAAATGAAACTATAAATATTTAAAGTGTATGGCATGATGATCAGATATACATACGCATTGTAAAATTATGCCACAATCATGGTAATTAACACATCCATCGCCTCCCAGACTTCCCTTCCTTTCCTTTTTTTTTTTAAGATTTATTTTTATACAAGAGCTGGGTTACAGGCTAGAGGCACGGGAGGATGAGAGGATTCACCAGAGACAGGTTGGGGAACAGAACAGGCAGACTGACCGAAAACACTGCTGAAGGAAGCAGCGGGAGAGACAGGAGAGGTCTGCTGCACCATGTGGGTATCTCCCTGCCCGGCTGGGATCAAACCCACGCTGCAGAGGCTGCAGACAGCTTCACAGAGCTGCGTTCAACCCACTGCGCCACCGGGGAGGCCCTCTTTCTTTTTTTGATGAGAACATTTACAATCTGTTCTCTCAGCAAATTTCAAGTATATAATAGCAATATCATATAGTCGCCATGCTATATATTAACTCCTCAATTTATCCATCTTATCACTAAAAAGCCTGTACCATTAGCCCATTTGCAAACATCTCCCCATTTTCCCACCCCCTGGCAATCAACCCTTCCACTCTGTTTTGTTAGCGAAATGGGACTTTCTCAGCTCTGAGCCAAAGCAGTAAAAGGATCGCCTTGTGCAGCTGATTCTGAGGTTTGAATTAGAGAGGACAGCCCCACCAGGTCCTGGAAGCCACCTGGCCTCCCTCCACTCCCGGAGTGCTGAGTGGAGATCAAAGGCCCTAAGGTGGACTGGCCACTGGGGCCAGAGCCTCCCTGAGGTTCTGCACAGTCGTCACACTGATCCCATAAGATCCAGGCCTGCAAGCCGCAACTCTGAGGACAGCAAGAAATAAAAGCTGAGATACATGGGGAAGTGTACACAGCTACTACGAGCACAGTGACGCAGTAGGGGATGCGGGCAACACTGCCATTTCTGCTTTATTCTGCGATGTGTCGTGAAAACCTCTCAAGTGTAAGTGGTGGTCAAATCAGATGGTGTGGGCCTCAGCTAGTTCACGCAAGGTCAGTGGTGGATTACCGAAGAGTAAGGCCAGCCAAGTTCAACTGCTAACTGTGTGGGCGTCAGCAAGTTATCTAAACTCTCAGACCTTCAGTGTTCACAACCGTTAAGTGGCCAAAATAATTATTTTCTCACGGGATTAATGTGAGGATTAAGCAATGTTTCTATATTTGTGTTTGTATCTTTGTGTATGTGACCATGCATGTGTGCATACTGTCTGATGGGTAAGGGAAACTCTACAAATAATAACTGCCCCCTGCCACTGTATGGAGGCTATGCCCACTTATGAAAATGTTGTCACATTGCAGCATTTAATTTTAAAGCTGGTTTTGGAACTTTAAAACTATTTTATCAAGCAGTGATCAGCCAAACCTTGCCTATATAGTTCTCACTAACCCACTGTGACTGAAATATTGCATTACGTGTTGAAGAAACTCATGGCAGCTGAGAATCTAAGCATCATCTATATCACATCTTAACAAAAAGTCTGCCTAAGTTGCACTTAGGATCCCCAAGCACATCATGATTAGTATCTAGATTAGGTATTGACCCAATGGAGTTGGGGTGAGGATGGGGAGGTGATATTTTCAGTGCTATAACCGATGCTGAAAGATGACAGGGGGGGCCCTGAGAAGTGGGAAGGCAGTGGGAAGGTGGGGAAGAGCCAAGGAGAGGGAGAGTTAGGACAAGTAAAGTAGCTGAAATAAGCAACCTAAGTGCCCCAAAACAGACAAGTGGATCAAAAAGATATGGTATACATACACAACAGAATACTACTCGGCAATCAAAAAAGATAAATGCATACCATTTGCAGGAATATTGATGGAACTGGAAGGGATTATGCTAAGTGAAATAAGCAGTAGGAGAAAGATAAATACTGGATGGTGTCACTTACATGTGGAATACAAAACAACAACAACAACAAAGAGTCAGACAAAGATAGACTTTAATACTAACCCATGGAAGCTGACACCATAGACCTATGGCTTTCAGAAGAGGCAGGGAAGAGGTGGGTAACAGGGGATGGGAGGGAGTGGGGAGCTAGAACACCATGGACTATAGTGGAGAACTATGGATGCTTTGGTGGTGGGAGAGCTATGGTGACCATACCTTAGGGGGAAATGCTATACTGTCAAGACACTAGCAAGGATATAAAACAATGGTATTTCAATAACAACAACAACAAAAAAAAAAGGCAAAAGAAAGCCCAATGTCTCTGTCCAGCTCTACATTTTGTGGAGTCCCCCAACAAGTGTGTGAGTAGCTTGGCTCCAGAACAATTCAGCTGGGTGTTATCACTGCACACCCCCAAAATGAAAAACCAACAAAGATGAGCCATTGGGAATCCAGGAGAATAGGCTTAATTCCACAAAAAGAATATTTAAAAGTGAAGGCATGAAATACTAACATCAACTTGATTTCACATCACACTCACCTGAATTTATTCAGTTATGTATCTCAGCTAAACCAGGAGTGTCATTTCTTTGAGACTTAAGCAAACAGAAGAGAAGATGCCTCAAGAACAATCAAGAATCTAAAGGACTAGGAGGAAATTATTCTGGAATGAAATAAAAACAGAAACTGTACCCAAAAGGTCAGGGTGAGCATTTGAGAGATTTCACACGCCAAGTTACTTTACATTTCCTGGGGTTAAAAAGTTCTGGCTTACAGTTAGGCTAATTATAAGATAATTTTACCCACTGAATATTTTCATAAGCTTTGGAGTACTGTTTTAATTGGTGGCTTTTCCACAGTTGAAAGATAAACCCTTGCTGGAACAGGGAGAGGAAATGGGTGTGGGAGGGACAAAAAATAAGAAAAAAAAAGCAGAAAAAGTTGTTAAATGGCAGCTGTGCTGGTTGAAATGGTTTAGGAGATAAATCCTCCATAAAGGTGAATTTCAATTAAGCATTTTTTATTACTCTTTTCCTGGCTTCCGAAACAAGTATGTTTTCTTGGCATTTTTTTAAATTTTATTTTTATATTCCCCATACAATTGCAACCCCCTTATTTTGACCCCAAGCCCTCCTTCCCCCCACCCCCATAGTGTGTCTCTGGTTCATAGTTGTTTGTTGATTTTGATTTTTTCTTTCTAATAGTTATTCTTTTTCCTGGTCCCTTATTTAAGTTTTCTAGATTCTTGCTATGCGTGAGACCATCCGGTATATTTCTTTTTCTTTCTTACTTATTTCGCTGAGCATGATCCCTTCTTGTCATTTTTAAAAGGACACTGATGGTAAGGAAGGAAGTGTGACTCCTTGCATCACACAGACCAGACACAGCACCTGCAGGCCTTTGTGTGAACCTGCCTGGTAAAGAGGTGCTAGGGAACAAGATGACTGGAACCCACACAGAGGCTGAGAGGCTGCCTTGGGGGTGGGGGGGTCAGGGGAGGAGGCTGGGAATGGGGCACTGACTGTCATTTGGGAAGGTGGCTACATCTCCACACAGAATGCACTGCATCCAGTAGGTGCTGGAACAATGTAGAAAAGTTCTATGGGCCTTGCTATGAAACCGCAGGTCGGAACAGGCAAATGAGGCCAATGGACTGTGTAAGGAAGCTCCTTATGCCTGTGCCTCTTTACTCCTGCAAAAGAAGTAGAAAGTTCTCTGAGGTTTCTACACCAGACAAAGGTAACTGTAATCTGCTGGGAAATGAGCCAGAGGTGCTTTTCTCCCTTGGCCTTGGAACCTCCATCCATCAATCGGGTCCCTCTGAGCCCTTGCTCAGCTAAGAAACATTAGCAAGGCAGAAGCACTTTAATCATATCTCACCACTGGCTGTATGTGTACAAGTGCACACATTCACACCCAACTTACACATGCACATATACATGTGCATATACATATACTTATGCATGCAAAGACATCCATCCTCACACATATGTGCACATATACATGTGTACTCAAGGGTATGTGTGTAGATGTGAATAAGTACGTGTTTTGTGTGCACACATGCATGCAACCACACAGAAACACATTCATACAGACATGCACACATGCACTTACCCATATGCACAGAGAGTGGCATTCAGAGAGCCCCAGTAGAGCCCCTGAGACAAAAGGAGGCCTCAGACAATTGACCCTTTTGTTGTTGATCTCAGCAGGGACTGAGAGGAGAGAGAGAAGGGAGGCCCAGGGTGGTTGGCCCCTGACCCCAGCCCAGCCCAGGCTGAGGCCCAGGGACATGGAGGTCAGAGGGAGTTTTGTGCTGCTGTCTCCCCTGGAGAACACCCCCAGGACATACTGTAAGTATTACCAGAAAGCACTTAACAAACTCCCATTCGAAGAACTTTTTAGATTTATACAATTTGTTAATAACAAAATTAAATCACATTTTAATGGCAAGGAAAGAGTAATTTAACATTTCTCCAAATCTCCACCAGCTACAAAAACCTTTTTCCTGCTGCTTCAGCCTAAAAATGCTCCTTTTTTGGAACAGTTGACTGAGGCAGCTGTTTTGTATCAAGTCTGAGGGTTTTCTATATGACCCAGGGAGCTCAGACAACAGGCAGACCTTCCTGCATTAAAGGGTAATCTGAGAATAATTTGCCATAAAACACCCAGAAGTGCGCCAGCTGTAGCCGGATACACCCTATAAAGCACCACGTAGA